GTTTGTACTTAATGAATCAGTTCACTTTGTTGCCGTGTTTGTATAGGATGTTAGTTAACATCTAATTAACTTGATAATTTTGCATGTTTATCAAGTTGATAATTACAAGAGTTTTTTTTTTTTGTTTTGTTTTAATCCTATCACATGCATATCTATTTTGAATGCATTATCTGATTCACGTTTGGTTTAATTGCATTGATTGGATATGATTGGATATTATATATAGGATTAGATTTTGCCCATTAAAAGCGGCTGCATATGCATTTAGGTTTTTCCGTATGGTATAAACACTAGCAGCAATGCATTAAACAGACAGAAAATTCATGTGCCGCATGCCCAGGGATAAGTCAGTTTACATTTTCATGAGTCAGAGTATGTCTTCAGTTTGCTTTTACCACATAATGTATCATTTGAAAGCAAACGTTTGTTAGCAGCCCTAAGTGCACCAAGAGTTATTTTCGTTTCAGAAAAATCAGTTTTATTGCCAAGTGTTTTTTAAAGAAAATATTAGTTTTTGTTCACTGATTTTTCATGCGCTTCAATTGAAATCAATTATGAAAATGTGCCTTGTGATTTTCATAATTGGTTGATTTTCAAAATCATTTCATTTCATATATTATGCATGATCGCGTTAGTATCTTGCAAAGTTCGAGGAGACAGTGATTGACGGCCGCGTTAGTGTTGTGTCATTTCCACTCGAAGGCTGAAGAGAGATCGAGTAGCAAAGCGCGGAGACAAAACTGCCTACTAGTATGCGTGTCTAGTTGATGAGTTTTGTAAGTCTTTCTATACTTATTTCTCTTAGTGTTTGTCCTGGCTTGGGAGCCCGAGGATTTTCCCAGTTGTGGGTTTTGCCTTGTTAAATCCTACATCATGTGTGCACTTTTTATTTATCGTTTTAATTGCATATGAGTATGATAGTTTGATAGGTGATGTGAATGTGGATTTAATTTGAGTGTGGATTTAATTTGAGAACTGAAAATTAAATTGAAAATTGAATTGGATTTTTAAATTGGAACCTATTCACCCCCCTCTAGGTTAAACTAGTACCCATCCTAGAACTTTCACAATTAAAATCAATTGTATTCTAAAGGTGCTTAATCAATCAAGCATGCTTAAGTTCAGCAGTTAATTTTGAGAAAAAAATGCATTTATCCTACAATATAGATAAGGGTCTGGGTGAACATACAGTCAAGTCCTTGGATAATAGGAGAACCTTCTCCACAATTCCTCAAGTCCCCCTCTTCAGATGATGATGAAAGAAGGCCATCTTCTGCAGCATTTTCTTCCATATCCGGTGTTGTTTTTCTCAATGGTGAATCCTTGAGTTCCTCTACAGCATCCTGAAGTTCAATAAGGAAAGACAGAAGGAAGAAATAAAATACTAATCAAAGAATGGTATACTGTGAAACTATCTTATCAGAACCATTCAATAACAAAGGATACAGAAGATTTTGCTTGTTCATTATCACAACAATCTTGTTTTGGAGTCCAGAAAGTACTGAAACTTCGAATGTCTCCCACAGTAAATCTCCTCTCTGTTACAGCAGGACTACTAGCATCTACCATTTGGTCTGATTTTGGGATTGAGGTAGGGGAAGAACTTGATGTGGGTGTTTTAATTCCAAATTTGGGACTCAGATCATCTGCTTCTGGATTAGTAGCTTTCTTCAAGCTTGGATTGCCATTGTCTTCCTGGTAGTCTTTATTTGCTGGAATGACAAAATCTGCCTTAAATTTCTTGTATTTGAGTGGTGATCGGCAGATTTCCTGCTTTTGAATATTTTTTTCCAGTTCATGATACTCTCTTTTATTCTCATGTTGGCAACCACGAGAATCTCCTATTTTCTTGCCTACAGAACTATTTTGCTTGGCAGGTGATTCTGGCTCACTCCTAATAATCTCTTTTTGAGTCTTAGTTGATTTATCCTTTTCAGGAAGGCAGATCCCATGCGACTCAGTTCTGAAACTTTTGACCCCTGTCTTCTTCCGCATAGACTTTGAGGATCCACCACCAGAAAAGCCATGTAGCTTCCCATCGCAGTCTTGTTCAAAGGAAAATATGTTGTTCTCTTGCTGTTTCAGTTTGTAACCAGAGGATGGACCATTTTTTGTACTTGTCTGCTGTTTTTTGGTTGGACCTCTCTTTCGGCTCAATGAATAAGTCACAGGTCTCCTGACAATATTATCAAGACTTTCAGAATCCATTTCTATAGTATCTGAATTTTGTCGGGGTTTGATAAATGCATCACCCTTGTCATCATACTTTTGCTCTGGTATATGCTTAGGCTTGACAACTGTGGAACCCATTTGATCAAATTCTGGCTGTGGATTTAAATTACTATCACCAACCTCAGGAGGCTGAGATTTGGAATACTCATCAGGTGAAGAAACAGTTCCCAATACCTCCCAAAGCTTCATTTTGAGAGTTTCGGTTCTCCTGCTTTCTGTTGCATCTGTTTTATCCACTGTCACCTCCTTGTCTGTTGCATCTGTTTTATCAACTGGTGAATCCTTATCCGTCATTACAACTTCCTGTGCAGTCACAAATGTGAAATCCTGAAGTTCCACTGATCCATCCTTCTCTCCCCTCTTTCTGTAGCTAACTCCATCAAAGTTCTGCTTCTTACCATCAGACTGGAAAAAGGAAGTCTGGTTTGCTAAAAACTGAACAGAATTTGTAACCAGTGCATTCCTTGTTCCATCACATTTGGACTGCTTCCCACTACAAGATGGCAAATCAGAAGACTGTTTTGCATGAAGAGGGGGATCTGAAGTACGCATTTTCTGGTGGAATGATGCAGTACTAATCCATGGGGAATTCACCTGCTCTGGATCCCTAGCTTGTTTTATTTTCTTGGCAGCTGTGACATCTTGCTCCTTGCTTATTTCCTCTGTGGTATTGCCTAAATTAGATGTTCCCCTTTCTGCATTTGGCACCACAGGTTCACCTACCTTGGTGACTCCAGACTTTTTCTTGGTTGATGGGTCTACCACAACTCCAATCGATATCTTTCTCGATTGGCTAGATGGATGATTAATGCTTCCAAAACTCCTACAATTGTTTGTTTGGTCCTGAAACGTAATTGGAGAGGGATTAAGCATATAATTTTTTTTTGTTTTCAATATCGACTAAAATTTCCAAGGATTCAAGTTCATTGGGGATCGCAAATCCCAATTCCACTCTACCATCCTGTTTCCTTTATATATATTATAAGATGTATATCCAAAAGATCATCAAGCAAAAGGGGAAAGACATATCAGGTGAAACAACATTTTCAGATTGAGCAACTCAGTCATGCATAACATGCAAATAACTTATTAAAGAAAGTAAAACCAAAATGGCAACATGAACAACTCAGTGACACAGATGTTAAAAATTAATAGATGAGTAATCATGAGTAAACGATAGCATATATATAATGAGCTTCATAAAAGCTTATGCACCAAGTACCAAATAAGACGATGAACACGAAATTAATTGGAAATTTTAAAGAAAACTCAGTCGTTAGCTATATAACTAGGACATATTCAAATGTTAGTACTTACATCCCGTAAGTATTGTAGTGAATCCACCTCCATTGTTTGAGAACAAAGAAGCAGCAAAACTGCAGCTGTGACCTGGACAGTAGACTAAGCAATTTAGTTCAAAAAACAAAGAGAGTTGCGTAAGAGGAGGGGCAGGGCAAGGCAGATAGAAAGCTAATATTATTTGCTGAGGAAGAAAAAAAAAGTGTGAAATGAATCTAAAATAAATTCAATATCATGATAATTCATTTCAGACCATACACAGAGAACCAAGATGGATGGGTAACTTTATTACATAGTTTAGGGTTTCAAAGTTTCTAAAGGAGTGTAAAAAGCACGCACAAATAAAGAGGGATTTACTATTTCTTCATGATTTCTTATCCCAAATTCCTAATTAAACATAGTTTGTAGCACCCAAGATAAAGCTAAGGCGGTGAGAACATCGGAGGAGAACCACCCATCTACAATTTCGAATTCGTCAACCAACACGAAAAAAATCAGTAATTGGTAAATAATCACCAAGTAAAGTATTTCATTGGAATTAAACGATGGTGATACGAAATAAACCCTAATTCACCGAAAATTAACTTTCAGGCGCTCACAACCTTGATGAATTGCAGATTTAGGTTCTGACTCTCAGAGATCACATGACACACCATAGCATACCAAACCAGGAAAATGTACGAATGTGAGAAATTCAAACAATGAAATTAAACAAGTGAAAATCGGAGTTCAAAATCTCATAACCAGAAACTACACGGAAGAAAATGAAAATTAAAAAAAAAAGTCATAGTAAATAGCCTACTGCTTGTTGAGCGTTGATGATCGATGACCTCCAGCTTTCAATTTTCACAATCCAATTTTTTTGCCGACGGCGAATCAGAGAGAGAGAGACGCGGAACACTGAAAAATGTATGAAAATACACGGCGGGAAATACATGAGTTTTTCTCCTGGCGCCTGACCGGCTCTATTTTATTCCAGAGGTGTATTGCGCACTCACTTTAAACTCAGTTGACGATAGTACCCCTGCCCATGATGGATACAGGTCCGTTGGGTCACTTGGGTTTCGATATTGGGCTATCTGTAGCTTCATGGACCAGCTTCTCTATTTTAAATTCTCTCTTTAGAGTTTATCCTTTTCTTACATGCAAAAAAATTTAATTGACCCTATAATATTTTAACTTGTTATAATTATTTGTTGATATATAACTTATATTACTCGAGAAGTGTTGAGATGGGCTCAAATTATTCTTTAGGGATCTCAAGTAAGGCTCGACACAAGCTGGGTTAGGCCTAATTTTGAAGGAACAGAACCGGATCAGAGTTTAAAAGAAACTGGTCGAGTCGGGCCGAGTACATCATATTTCATTACAGGAATCGGACTGAATCTGGCCCGTTTGATCCAGGCGGGGTCCATGGGTCCTTGGTTTATTTATTTATATTTTTTTTTGCGAAACCGCCACAGAAAGGAATGAGGACTCTGTTTTTCAAATCTCCGTCTCCGTCGCCTTCAAACTCTCCCTCCAAAACCACCGCCATGTTGCATTTGTCGCCGCGCCACAGCTTTTCTAACTCACTAATGGAAGAGAATATCGAAATCGCTGAGGCCATAATCGCCATGCAGCACTTCCTCATCTCCCAAACCACCAACACCGAGAAGCTCATTCGAGCTCAAAATCTCATGCAATCCGCCATGAAACGTCTCGAGAAGGAGTTTTACCAGATTATGTCCGCCAATCGGGAGTATTTAGATGCCGAAACGATCTCCAGTCGGTCATCTAGAGCCTCGACCCGGACCAGCGTATCAGATCAAGATTCCAAGTCGGAGGATGAGTCACAAGTCGCCATCAAGTAGGTGAACCACATCTCTTGGGTTGTGATGTCTGATTTGAAATCCATTATTGATTGCATGATCCCATCCGGATATGGCAAAGAGTGCTTGAGAATTTACAACATCATCAGAAAATCGATCCTTGACGAAAGCCTTTACCTTCTCGGCGTTGAGAATACGATGTTCTCACAGGTTCAGAAGATGGATTGGAACATTCTAGAGACAAATATCAAGAACTGGTTAACCCAGCTAGGATTAAGAACTTGAAGAATATGAAGAAGAAAAAGAAAAAGAAGAAGGTTCGGAAAGAGAGAGAGATTGGAGGAGATAGAGAGGCAGCTGAGACTGAGAGAGTGAATTTTGAAACCTTGGACTTGGGTAGAAACTAGGGTTGAAACCAACGGTTGAGATTAGATGATAGGTTATTATTCAATCTTGGCCATTCATTATAATTAGAAACGGGTCAATTCAAGACCCGTTTTTCTAAGTATCTGGACTCAGCCCGACCCGTCCCGCCCTGTTTGTTCTCTAAAATATTAAGAACCGGCCTGTATCCGCCCCGAACCGTAATTACCTGCCCCGACCCGCAGTTCATATACCCATTTGCCCACCCCTAGTCTCGAGCAATGGAATGGAACGAAGCAAAGGATTAAGACTACAAGGTTAGTTAATTCTTTTCACATGTAGAAAATAACAAAAAAATTAGCGATTTTAAAAGTAGTATCAAAAGTCGATAGGTAGTTTTAAATAACAAAATTCAACATAAAGGTTTTTTTTTCAACAAACAGTATTATCTATACGAAGGAGAAGGAGTGGGCTTAGCCTCGATAGGTAGTTTTAAATAACAAAATTCAACATAAAGGTTTTCTTTTTCAACAAACAATATTATCTATACGAAGGAGAAGGAATGGGCTTAGCCTCACAATGGGCTAACAATAATATGGTTCAAATTCGCCTTTGGCGAGAGTCGAACCTAAAACCTCTCACTTACAAGTAAAGAAGAATACCACACCGTAGTACTAAGTGGCTCTTTAAAACTTATGTTGAACTGCCACTCAGTACTATGATCTGGTGGTATTCCTATTCACTTGGAAGTAAGAGGTCTTAAGTTCGAATCTTGTAGACGGCGAATTCAATATCAAATTAGGTTGCCCATTGTGTGGCTTAGCCGAACTCTCCCTCCCCTTAGTGTAAAAATATCTCGATGTACTAAAAAAACTTATGTTGAATTGCCACTTAGTATCACGGTCTAGTGGTAATCCTCTTCACTTGTAAGTGAGAGGTCTTAGGTTCGATTATCGCCAAAGATGAATTTAAACCACATTATTGCTAGCCCATTGTGAGGCTAAGCTCACATTTTCCCCTTAGTGTAGAATATCGTTTGTAAAGCAATAAATAATCCCAAAATTCCTAGAGGCGACACATGGACTTTTAGCTAAAAAGACAAAACTGCCCTTATTAAATGAGCAGTCATCCCACACGTAGCTTAGCATCTTAAGACATGCAGGCTGCAGACTACGACTACTTAGAGCTCCACTGCCCATGGAAAAAGTCAAAAGTATTTAATAACATGATTATCCCTAAATCCTATTATTAATACTTCCAATTGAAGACAAACTCTATCAAGTAAGTAATCTCAATTATATTTAATTAGGATAATTACCTTTATTTCCAAGATATTATTTACACAATATCTTGGGAATATTCTCACCAAATTTAACCTTAATGGTTGGCCGCTCTCCCTATAAACACCCCATTTCTCCACACAAAAATTGGACGTCTTTTCTACATACAGAAAGACCCTAAACACTTCCATCTTTTTAGAGAAAGCCTAAATACTTCCCTTTTTTCTACATACAGAAAAACCATGATGTCCCCCCACTCATCGTAGGCCTATAAGGCTTTTGGTCTTTGACCAAAGGTGTTGACTGTTTTGCAGCCAAAATTTACATCGACAAATTGGTGCTTTCATTAAGAGTTTGATTCAAACACTCGAAAAAGACTCTCACATTCAACGTTTCTTCGTTCATTCGTAGATTTTCCCACACTTACCTTTCTATAGAATTTTCTTATAAATTTTTAGAATTACCCTGAGGAAGAGATATGATGACAGGAAATTCAAAAACCAGGACGAACGGAACCTTCTACGTTCAAGGATACGGACCAGACAATAAGGGTCGCAACATGGATTCATGTCGTCGCTCGTCGAGGCTTACCACGGCAAGAGTCACACCATTACCATCTAGGACACCAATCATGGTTATGCCAAAAACAGCGCATGGAGCATCCCTGCCCACGATGAAGAAGCTGCGGAGCAGCAAACCCACGATGTAGCAGCACTAGCCTAGCAGGCTATGGCTCAACTGGCAGCAGTAGTCCAAAGCACTGCTGACGTAGTAATAGTCCTAAGTTGAACGAATGATTAACGCCCGCGTACCCAGCAGGCAGCCCCGCACCCACGTACACTGTTTGCAATCCAGCCCACCTAAGCAACCCAAATTGGTCTAAGACCAGTTCAATCGTTCTGACTTCAGATTTCTGGATCGACATTTGAACCGGGGGTATTATTACCCTGTTTTCCTACAAATTTGATCAATCCCAGCTAAAATCTAACACCCGGATTCCTCTACACTTTCACCACTCAAGGAGACGCATACCGTCCAAGCTTTTCCACTCCAAATGATGAACAACACTTGTCTCAACAGGTCCTAGAGTTGACAAGCACCATCGCGCAACAAATAACCTTGGTGAATCAATTCTTACAACACACTGAAATGTAACGTGCCCCAAACGAAGTGTCCCGAAGCAAGACAAGGGCAAACGGAGTCCCGGTAAGCAGTCATTCGACCAACCACGAACCGAGCAATCTGGCAACTTACACTCTTGTCTAGGCCATCAAGATAACGTAGACTCCTGTCTTAGAGCACGGATGAGCATGCACTCCCGGTTAGGCCCACGGGCAAGTATACATTCACAGTTGAAGCCACACTTTGATAACCAACATGGACAACCTTCTAAGCGAATTGTTCATTCCTGACTAGGCCCGCAAGAAGCATCATCCACCTCATATCGGAGTAAGTAGCATGACAGACAGAGTTAAATAGTCACTCAATATTACTTAGGTTCAACTGGTAGCATGCTCTCAGCGTAACCACGAGTAGCTTGCTCGCCTACCAAGAACGAACCGCGTGCACCGCAGTCACAACATAGACGAGCCAGAAACCCCACTACCCCCAACAGAGGTAAATTCAAAAGGAAGTAAAGAGGCTCATAACTGAGTGACTGTGCGAATTCCAAAGCATTGAAACCATTGATGAGGCATTTCGACTAGATGTTAACACCATAAACATGTCACCTTTCATAAACAAGATCGAGTAGATGGAGCTGCCACACAAGTTTAACATGCCACACTTCACCTCTTTCAAGGGAGATGAAGACCTGGAGAGGTACAAAAAGGCACTACCACATCACCATGATCTTTAATCGGAGCAACAACACGTTTATGTGCAAAATATTTGCCACCACTCTACAAGGTGAAACACATAATTGGTTCCACACCCTGCCATCATGGCCCATCCAGAGTTTCAACAAGCTTTCTTTGGTTTTCACTAAAGAATACTCATCATACCGCTCAATTAAAAAGAAGTCCAACCACTTGTTCAACATCAAGAAAAACCCAAAAGAGTCGTTTAGCGACTATGTGAAGAGGCTTAAGGCGGAGAAAGTAAAGATAGTCGGCTGTAATGATTAGATTGCTAGCACAAACTTTTAGAAATGACTACTAGCAGACCACCTACTATTCAGCGAACTTATCATGGAAGAAGATTTGACTCTGGTAAACTAATTCACTATGGCAGAGAATCATGCACTTAGGGACGAAGTTCGATAAGCAAACAAGCCACCTAAGCAGCCTTAGAAGAAGTCGGAAATAGCCCAGAAAAAGGTAGACAAAAAGCAGTCCAATGACACGAGCAAGTAGGGAGCCAAGTGTAGAGACCGTTCTTCGATCACTAAGAACTACACCAAGTCCTCTGCAACCTTAAGAGCAAACCTTGGATCAAGCTGCCCAGATAGACGAAGGGATACACTTTCAAGTTGGATTGCACCAAATACTACGCATTCTACCAAGGTCCCGGTGACACGATCGATAACTGCTATACCTGGAAAGATTACCTATAGAAAATATTGAAGGATAGTAAATGTGACAGATATCTAGACAAACCAGCTGCGCAGCCTAAGAGGAATATAGACATAGACGAAGAGCCATCTGCCAAGACGATTTGAATGAACGACATCTTCACTGAATCCGAGCACTTGGAGGCCACCAATAAGTCCAAGACAAGGAAGATCCAGTAGGCCATATCGATCTCACAAGTCCAGCAGCCGACATCAACCCTGAACCTATCGTCGGCTTCATCGAGCAAGATGTTAAAGGTTTAGGCTTCCCACACGACAATGTTTTAGTTATATCTGTTCAACAAGCCTATGCCATAGTTAATAGAATGATGATGGACAACGGCAGCGTAGTACTCTAACTTTCAGTCATTCAGCAGATGGGCTTGGAAACATGATGATATGCCGAACAGATTTACTCACAGGATTCAATGGTCACACATCGACTGCTATTGGCAAAATAACAATCGACGTGAAAACTCCCCCAATGGCCTCAAATAGACATTCACAATAGTTAGTGACTTATGTTCGTATAATGGGATTCTAGGTCGGCACTAGCTAGTAAGACTGGGTGCAGTAACCTCTGTCGACTACCAGAAAATCTGATTCCGCATCCTAGGAAGAAGAGTAAAAAAGATCAAGTTAAGATAGGCCGCATCCTGACGATGCATTGTACACGTTTTGAATGAGTGGAAAAAAGAAGTTTTCTACCTAGTAAAGGTTACTGAGGTGCAGAAAGACGACTCTACCTCAACTAAATAGCAATAATAGCAAGTAGGTCAAGAAGATGCCGAGCATATTTTGCTTGACCCTAAGTAGTGGTCTGACCACATCAACAACTTGGCAGAGGC